TGAAGTCATGTGGATATTTGCATTTCTGCCTCTGGATATCGTGTTAGTATTCAGCTAGCGTTTGAGTCCAGGCTCAGATCAGGAAAACAAGACTCCTGCCCTCACGGAACTTCTCTTCCATGTGTGTGTGTAGAGGAAAATAAAGCACAAGATATTTTTTTCAATGAGCTGGGAAGATGGAAAAACAAACTTAAGATGTTTACTTGTTCAGAAGAAGGGAAGTACAAGGAACACTCAGCTTTGCTGCTGCTGAAGGAGGCCCCTGGTGGAGGCTGTTTCAGAGGTGGGGTTTCTCTGAGAAAGGTGGTAAGAAGCAAATAGGATGCCCCATCTGGTTTGCAGAGATGGGGAAAAGTTAGTATCCCAAAGCGGCTTCAGCATTCTGGCAAAGCTTTGGAAAACCAGCTAGGGTGTGGGACCTTGTTGGCCGCTGGGTAGAAGGAAAACATTGCTGGTCCTGAGGACTGTGCTGTTCTTCCACTGCTATAAAAAGAACTACCTGAGGCTGGGTAATAAGGAAAAAAGGTTTAATCGGCATACAGTTCTGTGGGTTGTACAGGCTTTACCATCTGGGGAAACTTACAATCAGAGTGGAAGAGGTGAAGGGGAGGCCGGCATGTCTTCACATGGCTGGAGAGAGTGAAGGGGAAGGTGCCATGCCTCTAACAACCAGATCTCAGAACTATCATGAGGACAGCACTTGGGGGATTGTTCTAAAGGCATTGAAACCACCCCCCATGGTCAATCACTTCCCACCAGGGCTCACCTCCAACAGAGAGTTAGAGTTCAGCATGAGATTTGGGTGAGGACACACAGCCACCATGTCAGGCTTCCCATTCTCCTTCTCCTGCACGTGCTTTCCAATGGTCTGTCATTGGTTTTGTCTCTGTTGTTACATAATATTTTATTTTGTATCTGAAAAATACATATTTTCAGAGTGCATGTGATACCTTGATTCACCCTATGGCCAGTGAAATCTGTGTACTGGGGATGTCTTTCACTTTAAATAGTTTCTTTTCCTTGTGTGGTTATGTTAGAAGTTATTCTCTCTAGCTGTTTTAAAATACACAGTAGATGACCCACTGCCACCCCCCTGCTGATATATCAATAGTAGGTCTCGTGTTCCCATTAGGCTGTGTGTTTGTGCCCGTTACCAGCCTCTGCCCATCCTGTTTATGAGTGGACTCTGCTGGGCCCTGTTGACCACCTACTCTTGGCCTCCCACGAGATCTGTTCTCAGCTCTCTTATGAGAACATGTGCGATTCCTTGCTTGGCTCGTTTGTAACGTAATGTCATCAACTCATCCATGCTGCCGCGGATGACAGGGCTCTCTGCTGTGTGGTGAGTATTGCTCCTGTGTATGTTCGGGCCACACATTCCCTTCGTCCACTCTGTTGGCGGGCACTCAGGTGATTCCAGACCTTGGCTACTGTGGATGGGAGCTCAGGGAAGCAGTCACTGGCTTTATATTCGGGGGCGTGAGCCACTTTGATTCTCAGCAGCCATTCCCCAAAGCCCTCGTAGAATGCTGCATTAGATTTGCTACCCATGGCTTTAACTTCCCACTAGGATGCACAGCTGGGAAGCGGCTTTGAGTGAATGCTTGGGTTTCTGTCTTTAATTAGTACCCAGCTACACTGGCCAAGCAGAAGTCCCAGTGACCCTGGACACTACCTCACATAAGATCCAAAGATGCAGTTAGGTTCTTTTTAACTAAAAAAAAAATGCTTTTGACATAGTTAGCTATAGCATTATCAGTTAGAGTTTTCTATATTGGAAAGGTGTATATTTTATTTTCTAGAAGAAAGAAATCTGTTAAATACTCTAACCATGATTAAATCGTGTCAAGGAAAGAGGAGTACTATTTTGGGGAAAATTACCTCTTCATGTCAAAGATCAAGGAGATGACTTACATTGTTTAATTGAGTTAATTATGAAATCTTAAGTGGTTTTAAGAAGATGAGCTGTGGATGCTGCAAGACATGAGACTGATACTGATTTAATGTTAGTCAGCCCTGACAGAATGTGGGTAATATTTAAAGCTTGCTCCAGTATTGCTTGATAGATTGTAAGTTAATGTAAAGATCTGTTTGATGCTTTTATTTTACAAAATATTATTGAAAAGGATTTTGACAGCCAAGGAATGGCCTTCAACCAATTTCTTCCTAATTTCTATCACCAGAAAATTTTGTCCTGTTAATTCCAGAATTTACTTTTGGAAAGTTCCCGTAAGTAGAGCAGAGGTATTGGTGGTTGAATGGTGACTTGAATTTAGGTTAGGATCATTAAATATTTCATAGTCATGTTTGTCTTGGTGGTTTTAGCAATTTTATATTAAACTTAGAACTGTGAGTCAAACCAAATGTGTTCTTTTGCTTTTGTGATACTCCTTTGTATGACTATACTGGTAAAGAATGATAAAATGTGTATTGGGTATTTTTTCTATGTAGATATTAAGGATTTTGGGGAACAAATTAATCATTCTTCTAATGTACACTGTGCTGTGTGTTGGGTCCTTTGTATATTAGTTGAATCACTATAATGAGGACCACTTGAAAGTCTGTTTCTATACAGATCTCTTTTATATGTTGACTTGTGTTATGCAAAATCCTTCATCTCTAAGAAGACTAAGCAATGGGTTGGAGGAGATTTAATCACCCATTGAGTCTATTCTGAATGCCCAGAATTGAATGCAAGTACTAATTATGTTTTTGAAGTGAGGTGTGTGTGTGTGTGTGTGTGTGTGTGTGTGGTGGACTTCTTTTTAGGTCATGGGAGGGAGGTAAAGCAAGTGAGATTTGCTGATGAACATTTGTGCATATGCTAGTGGAGAAGTCATATGACTTGACTGCACCTGCGTGCTCTGATTTTGGTTTCGATTAAGTGTCCGTAGCCACAAGCCTCAGCCACCCTCTGGGACCCACCCTGAGGGGGCTGTGGTGAGAGAGAGTTATTACAAGTCGTGTGTCCTTGGTAAGTGGCACAAGCGGCCTTGTGGGCCTACTTTGGCTTTGTTTGAACCTGTAGATTGTTAAACTAAGTTTAACATTTTGAGGATTATAAATTGTGATTCTTGTCTAAGAGGAGGTTTTTGTTGTCTCTGAAGACAGGAGCCGTAATACAGATGGTCCCTGGCTCCCGAAGGTTACATTTTGTGGTTTTTCCAACCTTGTGATGATGTGAACTAGTCACACTCCATGCATTGTTTGGCCCAAGATGGGCTGCCTCTGGATCTGAACCCGTTGTAAGTTGGAAACTATTATGTCAAATGAACTTTCTATTTGGGATATTTTCAGCTCGCTGGGTTTATTGGTGGTTCATTCGTGAGTAAGTCCAGAGCATATGTGCTCATAAGTGGTAATCTCATAGATACCGTGAGATATAATGTCTCTGATGTTGTAGAATCTTGATAGAAAACAATCAAGTGGGACTTGGAAGTATGGAAGGACCCATGAGGCGATTCTGGAGATGCAATCCTGAGCGCCACTGGCTCTGGATGTGACATCTGTGCCTTCTGCTTAGCCCAGTGTATTATTGGCTGCTCTCGAGGCAGAGTGGTCAGCGTTCCTGTGTTTAGGTGTTTGAGCTGCGCCAAGTAGGTCAATTCTCACTAGTGTCTTCCGAGGGCCCAGGCCTTCTGAACAAGCAGGAGGAAGGCGACTTTGTAGAGCTTTGGAAATCTCCAGCAGACTTCAGGGCCATCCCCTTGGCAGGAGAAGGCCCACTGGAGGCGAGCAGGGGTGCCGTCAGGGCCTGTGCTGGGCCCAGGCATGTCACCCCGGACATTTGTGGGGCCACCCAGGACACAGATCGGTCTTGGTTTCACAACTGGGTGTCGATGGCCCATGGCATTTCTGCCAGGTATATGAGTGCGAGGACTTGGGTTTTGGTGTGCGTCCTGGTTGCCTGATTGGCCACGACCCTATTCAGACCCAAACCTGAGTCACCCGTGACAGGCCTCCTACTTCACGCCTGAAAGCCGTGGCGTCAGTCCATGACACCAGCTGTCAGATGTGCGTGTGTATCTTCCTTGGTCTCGTGATGGGTCTTGTTTTGGGGGTTATAGTAGCGTTCTTCCTGAAGGTTTTGGATTTTTATGTTGTTTGCAAGAGACAGCAGGGAATTAGCAAAACAGTGAATCCCTTTCAGCAATGCAATTTCAGATCCCAGCAGGTAATTAAGGCAGCGGAGCTATAGGATCACCTTTCCAACCAATGAGAATTCAGATCCCAGCAGGTAATTACGGCAGCGGAGTGAGTGCTGGCAGAACCTGAACTGTGGCTGTTCCTGGTGTCTTGCCCCGCGGACAGAGCGTGCTGGGGCCTCAAGTGGTCTCTGTGGGGTGAGTGGAGCGCATGGGCTGGGTGCTGCTGGGCCCTGGCTGGCTCCCAGCCGGGGGTTTTATGCAGCACTCGTTGAACAACTTGGAACCCAGAAAGCAGCACGAGAGGAGAGCGGTTGTGCCTTTCTGGATCGTTGAATGCTTCAGTCTCAGACACTAGGCAGGCTCTGAGGGGGTCTCGCCGGGAAGACTTGCACAGTAGGCCCCCAGGGTGGAGTGGGGCTGCAGCGGGTCTTGCAGGAGCTGGAAGTGGGGGTGAATGTCTACTTAAAGTGGGACCTTTCAAATGGGCCCAGTAGGATGCATCCATGAAATGGTGCCACCTAGCAGGGCTGCGGCTAGCAGGGCCTGAAAGGCTGCAGCGGAGCTCTGTTTCTGCTCTCTCTCTCTCTTGAGTCTCTGCAGTTTTCCTTGGTTTTGTCTGTTTGGAGGGCCTTCCCCCTTCTTGCGCTTACCTAGCCTTCTGAGCTTCCTTGTTGAGTATGACAAAGCCCTGAGAACCATTTTTATCGCATAATTGTGTTATCCTGGTGGCTGGATAAATGACCTGCAAATGTGGGTGACTCAGTAGCTCTGAGGGTGTTCAATATGCAAGACAGAGGTGGGAAGGAAATGTTCAGGCAGGCATCAGAGGATCTGTTCTCTGCTTCACACTAGGGCCTTGGTTTGCTGAGAGTCTTCACACTCAATCCAAAATGGGGATAATGAAGTCTCACGGATTCGGCTTCAGCTGAGAGCTGCCTCCAGCACAGTCTTGTGTGAGTAACAGTTTCTATGTTTGGTGCGAAGGCGGGGCGTCAGTTGATCTTATTTGTGAGTGGTGCTTATGGTGGAGTTTCCGTGAGGAATGTGAACTTTATTAGCTTTGTAGGGAATCCTGAGTGATAAATTGGAAGAATGTTTCAGGAAATTCTGGAACCTGCAGTGAATCTGGAATCTGTATGAAATTGAGATTTGGATTCTCACGATTTCCTAATGCTACCCCGAAACCCAGTAGTTGAGACAGTCGTAGAGCTTCAGTTGTGCTGCCCTGGTTCCCCATTTTAAAAGGAACACGTTGCTTTCATCTAGAATGTTCTGAGCTCTGAGTGCTGCTGGCAGGTAAACCAGCTCTGCATCAGAGAGAGAGGCCGAGGACTGTGTTCAAGCTGTTGCAGCAGCTGGGAGCTGACCCTGGACTTCAGGCACGTGTGATGCTGAGCATTTTCTGTAATTTCCAAGGGTGTAGTGGTCTCCTTGGCCCTTTACAGTCTTCTGAAGCTTTTGATGTGTCTGTACTTTATAGATTTTTCAGAAGTAGACAGCATTTTCCCACACCCTTGGGCTGAGTTTCGTAAGAGGCTGGTGTGTAGGAAGCACCACACCCACATTCTGACAGGAAGACTCTGGTGCCCAACTGAGGTCAGGTGGAAATTTGTTCTTCCATCCCTCCAGTCTGGTCAGCTGCTCCTGGTTGGCCAGAAAATCATGCTTGGCAGCATCAAGTCGTAGGCAAACCCCGAAGTCAAACATTTGCCTTTTTTCTTTGTCGCCCATTTAGTTTATGAGGATGATAGGTAGATAAATGTCTTTTAGGGGAAAATTAATTTCCTTAATTACAGAACTTTTGGATAAAAACTGCAATCAGGAAGCTATTTTGTAACAAGATCTGATTAAAATACTACAGTGAAAGCTCCTTATATTTTGATCTTAGAAAGCTTGGGCTGTGTGCGTGTCCGCCTTGGCACCGTGCTCATGACATGAGCACAGATGTGAACTACAGGCAAAGTACATACTTTCTGGTTGCTTTTTTGAAAGTCTCATTGCTTGGCCTCTCCGGCTCAGGTATTTGAGTTACGTTGATCCTGGCTGAATGTTCCCATCCCTCCGTCTAAGGTCCAGTCGTCTTTCAGGGAGGAACCGTCTTCCTCATCTCTGTCTCCTACAGTATTGTATATTTAATAGTCAAATATTTATAGGTTACATGGGTACATGGGTAGCTGATCTGTTCATTAGGAGAAAACGATGCAATTTTCACATCATTATAATGCACTTGTTAAATGATTGTTAGTATAGTAAAGTTTCCATGGCAAAAGAGGCTTTGCAGATGTGAGTGTAAATGGACAGTGAGATGGGAGGACCCTGGGTTGTCAGGTGGGTGCAGTGTTCTTACATGTGCCTTGATGAGGAGAGGAATCACGGGTCTGCCTCAGAGAGACCTGAGGACGAGATGAGGCCAGAGGGCTGTGGGGCTGAGGCGAGGTGTGGGGCAGGGGCCGGAGGGTGCAGGGCTGAGGCTGGGGCAGTGGTAGGAGGGTGTGGGGCTGTGAGTCAAGCTGCATGGTGGCCTCCTATGGATTGGGAGACTCCAGGCAGGAATACAAGCTACTGACCCCTTGACTTCAGCCCTGGGACTCCTGACTTCCAGGGCTGAGGGGAGGTTTGCCTTTGTGGTAATTTGTTGCAGCAGCAATAGGAGATTAATGCATTGTATCTGTTCTTCACCTCCAAACCTTTTGAAAAGTAACCCTGTTGTATTGGCCTTTTGTGTACCCCTAAATTCTAATGAGGCAGTTTGTAGGAAATAATGGACACAAGCGATGGCAGAACAAAAGTTGGACAGAAGTAGTGTCTTCTCACGGTTCTGTAGTTTGGGTCTGTGAAGTTAGATTTCGGTCCAGAGTGTATGAGTCTTGTTCAGTGTATACCTGGAGTACTTACATTCCAAGAGCTCGGCAGGGGGTGGTCTTTAACACTGTTAGGTTAAAACTCCAAGCATATCAGGGCAGGATTCCTAAGTCAGTGTTAGGCGACCTTTGAATAAGAGTTGGCATGTAAAAATCTGCCCTTTACTAGTATGAAGCAGCAAAATCTTTTTATTTTTGAGGTGGAGTCTGTCACCCAGACTGGAGTACAGTGGCGAGGTCTTGGCTCACTGCAACCTCCACTGTCTGTGCTCAAGTGATTCTCCTGCTTCAGCCTCCAAATTGTATGATTTATTTTCCTGTTTTATTTACTAGTATGTGAAAACTCTGCAAACTTTATTAATACAAAAGACATGCCAGAACTTAGGAGAATCTGGCATTTTTATGCAAATTAGTAGTGATGTGGAATTCCTGGGCTGGTTTGGTTTTATAAGACATGGGGTGGATTCTTTGCCTAATTTCTGTGGAGCTAACAATTGTTAATCACCCAGCACTCTTACACTCCCCCAACAGCTCAGGTGAGGGGGTATTATCCCTACTGTATGTCGTGATGAGAGGCAGGAGACTGAGGCTTAGATAGGCAGGTGACACATTACTGTCAGCCCCACCCCACCCTGTAGTTTCCTGCCATGGCTCAGTTATCTTCCTGCAAGAAAGGACAGACACCCTGGTGCTGGGTAGAATTCCTTGTGAACCCCTTTTCCAGCCTCCAGGAGTTCTTGCTTCACAGTGGTGGCTCATGGGGAATCCTCTGGCCCACTGAGGAAAAGTGACTCATGTTGCTGACATTACTGTCTCTGTCAGTTGCTGTTGATTGGGTGATTTGTAAAGAGACATTTATTGCTCACAGCTCTGGAAACTGGAAAGTCCAAGGTCAAGGCAGTCAAAGGTCAAGGCACCTGCACATCTGTGCCCCAGGGCCTGTGGCTCACAGGGCAGCATCTTGCGGGTCTTGCATGGCAGCGGTAAGTCTCGTCCAGAACTCACGTGGTGCCGGAGGAGCAGGAGGCTCCTCCAGGCCTCCCAACAAGGACACCAACCCCAGTCCTGAGAGCCACGACCTCCCAAAGGCCCCCTCTTAATGTATGCCATGCCCATCAGAGATGGTTTCAGCATGAGGTTTTGGGGACATTCAGGCCACAGCCATTGCTCTGCTGTGGTGTTAGGGCTGCATGGCATCATTACTGCAGCAGAGCCACAGCTTCTTATCTGCATTTGCTGCAGGAGGAAGGCACAGGTGCCTGTGCAAGTTGGGGTTCGGTGCAAAGAGTGGAGACCCTCTGGGAATCTTAGCAGGAGGAACTTAAGGGCTTTGAGAACTGACACTTTAGGACTGCAGTTTTCTTCAGACTATAAAAACCTTGGTGTGTGAGTAATACTAGACATTGCCTGAGCCCTGCAGTCCTGTGAAACAGTGATGGTTAAGACACTCCCCCTCCCACAACTGCGCCCCCACTTTTACTGCAAAGCCCCTTCCCATGTAGCTTAGGCTGACTGGCGGATGACCATTTACCGAGGCAAGGCCAGATACAGAGCCTTCAAGCCCCCTTCTCTGCCTTATGAGTGATTAGCTAAACTGCCTGTTCCCACTAATCAATCACCTCCCACCTTGAAATGGTTCTTCGTGGTGTGGTTGCGCCTAGGGAGTGGACTTGTCTTTGACTGTCGCCTTCCACAGACGAGCAGTTAGGGTGGAGCAGGAAAGAATTCTCTGCTACAGGTCTGCATTCCAGGCTGTTTCCAGAACTGGGAATTCTGCCAGGGCCCTGGGTCTGGGAATGGTTCTAGTGTCAGCTTCAGAGTGGAGTTGAGTGAGTGAGGCCACCACACCCATCTGGAGACCAGGAACTGGAGCCATTTTAAAGTGGCAGTTTCTCCATAAGATTACCCAAAAAATGCTTGCTCAGCAACGTTTCTTTCTTTCTCATATGCATTTGGCCATCTAAAATGGGAATGGTGGTTTTTGGAAGCATGGACGTAGTTTTAAATTTTGAGTATTGTAAACCTTAATGTAGCTTCTTAAAATGTTTGCCTGATTATCTAGAGATTTACTAAACCTTTGGAGTGGTAATAATGAGTTGATCTATATGGCTTTTGCTTTTCTATATGATGCAATGAAAGTACTCTAAGATTAAAACCTCTGCAGTTAGGTCCCATACGCGATTGGCAAAACACATTCTGCTTGGGTTTCTTTAACCAAACAAGGGAATAAGAGTGTAGACTGGAAATTGGCAAATTCATTTCCAGGCATGCCAGAGCCCTCAGTGACTGAGCAGCCTTCTCAGGTGAACGTGTAACGTGCCGTGAGTCTTGGCAGCCTGGCTACTGATGTGTGCACGATGACACCACAGAGCCACCTAGGAAGATGTGGTTTCTGTAACAAGCTTTGGAAAACCAAAGTTCAACTTAATTATCCAACTTTGTTACAGAAAAAGCTTAGACCAGATAGCCAAAGACCTGATTGTTTCATGGTTGAGACATGGTTATAAAATTGCCTTACTTGTTGCCAATCAGTGTTGAACCACAGTGATACTCTTCCAACCTCACTGAATAGTTTGGAGACTGATATGAGACTGTGAAAATCTCCTTAAGGTGAAAAGGGCTCTGGGGCACGGGAATGTCCACCACACCATTAGCCCATTCCTATAAGGTGGGGAAGGGCAGCTGGAGTCACAGCGGGGCGTCAGCAGCACCGTGGCCATCTCTTTAAGACGGAAAGAACTGCTGGGGTGCCCGCAATATCTGCACACCCGCGGCCGTGTGGCTGTTCCCCTTTCTGCTCAGTCACCTCTGTGTTCCCGCATTCGGAGCTTTGGGACACTCATGAACCTTCGTCCCTGGGCTGGTGAGGAAGGAGTGGGAGGTTGTTCTGAGGCTCTGTCACTGTCTGCCCTGTCATGAGCTGGGCAAGGCATTGGCAGTGACCCTGGAGGAGTCTGGTCAGGGAGGGCTCCGGCAGGAAGTGCTGAGGCTTGGGGAGTGGCTCTGCCAGTCGTAACCAAATGTCTTCCCTCTTATTTCCATGATTCCTTCTAGTTCTGCACCTTGCACTGCAGTGTCTCTGTGTATCTATAAATACATGTGAGTTATGATACAGGTG